ATGGATACAGACCTGTTGATAAATTGAGAGAACATTATTTTGACATAATAAATTATCTATTTTTTTTCTTACCATTGTCTCATTACATTGCTGTTAGATTTCATTGATATATATTTACTGGTTAGAATAATTTTCCATTACCAGTAAAACAAAAACAGATATTATTTTCACATAACATATTTTTTGATTTTGTTTTTGCAAGCAGAACTAGTCAAAATAATACTTGAGTCTGATATTGTATAATGTATAACAATTCAGTAAAATATAACAATTTATCTTTCTTACTGATGAAAATTACTTAGCTGAGAAAAACTGTTACAAATACTTTTTCTAAAAAAAATTAGTCTTAATTACCAAGTTCCTTCAAATAATTGCTTGATAATAATTTATTTTACAAGAAATACAAATGTAAAATATATCATCTTAAATGGAAAAAATAATTTCTCACTTTATACTAACTTATTAATTTCTGATTGAGTATTTATATAAAATTTGTTTGGAAAATTATTTTATAAGCTAAAACATGACACGTCGTTCCATCTTGATAGTTTTGTCTCTTGAGGAATTTATTAATTATAAAAGTATGAGAAATGTAAAACAAAACTTACAGGTTAAAATAAATGTCAAAAGTCAGTTTATATATAAAGATATCCATGGTTGGGTTTATCTTAAATTGTCACAGCGAAGAACAACAAATTAATGCAGATAAAAATTTTCACTTGTACAAGTTTATGGAGGTAGTTTCATTTCATAACAAAAATCTAAATATTTAGATTTTCACTACCATATTTCTCAGTTTTATTAAAAACTAAGAATTTATGAGATCATGAGATGTTTTATAGATATCTAAAATGCATAAAAGTTTATGGCAATGAGGATTTATATAAGCAGATATTAATATATAATATATCTTACCACTTTCATAATAAAACCATGTAAGTAGAAGAAATTAATAAAATTTATGATCTGAAAAGAGCATATTTGATATAAAATTGTTCTGTAAAATCATAAATGAAAAAGTAAAATATTTACACTTACCTGCTTAACAAAAAAATGAAATCATAAAAGCTGCAATTTTGCAAATGTTAAAGTTGAAAATTACAATCCATTTGTTCTATACTATTAATATTGTCAATTGAGAACTGTCTGATCTTATTTCAATATCCTGATGAATTCTTAGGCATATTTCTGTACAAGATATTTCTCCTTTATTTACATTTGTAGTGCATGTATTAGAGTCAAGTTGATTTCCCCTCAGGTTTTTTAAGTTTAATTTTCAATTGCCTTTAAGGCAAAATTTGTTCAAATTGGCAATACATGCCACTCATCCAACTCCAGATAGATCTTACAACCTGTCAGTTCAGAAGCACTTCCACATATCAAGGTCTTTTGTTAGTCTAAGTAGTGAGATTGTATATATCCACAGCAAAACAAAATTATAAGCAATCTTATACCTGGATCAGCTAGGTAGAACATAAAACCACTAAACTGAAAATTCTAGAATACTTGATCATGTTTTATAGATTCTTACTCCCCAATATAAAAGCTGACTTTTCAGGAGAAAGATGGGTACTGCTGAATATTTCTATTATAATTCATAGACTAAAGACAACAATTAATTTGAATAAGTAATTTTCCACAGATTAAAATATATTCTGAATCTATCATTAATGCAAATAACTTTTGTGTCTAAAGTTATTTAATATCACAGAATAATCTAGGCCCATTGAACCACAGCTAAAAGCATAATTGCTTAATATGTTTTTATTCTTAATGCAAAAGCTTTTTATAAAAGTAATAAAATATTAATATAATTGTGATACTGATTCAATACTTTATTATTTTAAAACAAACTCTCTGCAAAGCAATATTAACAGAATATAAAGAAGGTATAGCTATTCTTCAAATGATAAATATTTCTCAAAGATTAAATAATTGATCAAACAGCACATATTAAAATGTTTTATGAATGATACATTAAAACTGATCTACAAATATAAGAAAATTAGAAACAGCACTTTTTTCTCTCAATTTTCATTCACGTTAATATTTTTATATCTTTTTCTGAAAAAGTTAAAAATTTTATAGTGATGAAGTATATCAAATTATTTTACTTTTCCAGATCAACAATTCAAATGAATTAGACTTTTTTCAAAAAAGTAAAATACTTTAAAAGATGTTTCTCAAATATATTGAATACAAATTAAAACAATATTACATTATTATTTTTGAAGTAATACATATTTTCATACTTTTTATGTATTTCTTAATATTTTCAGTCACACACCAATTTTTTTTAACATAAATTATATTATACATATAATAATTACATATTGTCATACTTAAGATTATAGCTAACATTGAATGTGGTTAAGGGAAAGAATATTAACTTTTAAAATCCAATAAAACCAAAATTATAGCAGTTGAAATTTGTTTAAAGTTATTAAGTCTCCAAATTTGAAAATTACAATAACTTTAATAAAAATGTATTCACATACATTTTGCTGCTGTTAACTTTGTGTGGTGGGAATAATTTTTATTGCATTACAGAATATTTCCGAAGAGGAAACTTTGTAAAGATAAATTATGTTATATTTTGTTTATTAGATCAACATATATTGATAATTAAAAAGTATCTACATGCCCAAGTGCAATGACTCAATCTTTACAAAATAAGAGTTATCTCCCTTACTACAGCAAACCTCTTACATCTTATAATTTAGATGGGTTATTTTGTTTTAAAATATTTTTTAAAAATTCAACAAAAGAGTAAAAGGTAAATTAGTAGTTAAAAGAACATGAAAGCAATAACTATGTAAGGATGTTAGAGTTAGTAAAAAGGTACTTTTTTAAATTCATAGGAAAATTTTTACCTTGCAACAATGACAATCTTTTTAAAGGTTTTAAAATTACAGCTTCAAAAATAAAATTAGTAAATGTACCAATTTAGATTTAATTTATGTTTGCAGTTAACATTTGGATACATTTCATTGATATCTAACATTATGCCAAAAGTAAATTATCATATATTCAAATTTATGCAAGGGAGAAAACTCGCTACGTACTTAAAAAACGCAATGGTATTGGTTTCAATTCTTTTTAAATGATTTTAGAAAGATGGAAAAAAAAAGTAGATAATCAATATTTGAACTTGAAAGAACTTCCTTTTTAATTATCTATATTGTTGGTTTTCAAACAAAATTTTCAAAGAAAAAAATCAATTATCATAAAAACTTGAAACAACTATACCAGCAGTCTGATTCTAATTTGGGATTTATTTTCTTTATTTTTTAAAACAATTGTTTGTTCCAAGTTAAAGTTTTTTGCATATGTCATATGTTTTTGTAAATAAGTGACTCATTCTTGTCAGAGTTAAAATGATTATAATTCAACAAAATTCAAAAATATATTCATGATATGACTTTAGTTTTAGCATAAAAAATTTTGCATAATTCTAAAAAATATTATAGATTTCTGATATCTGAATTCAAAATAAATTTTTCTGTTGTAATTTGTAATGGCCAGAAATCTAAATGAAGGAAAATGATGAAGATGACTAAAGGCAAGTTTTCACTGTTTGCTGTCTCAAAACATTTCTTTTTATGTGATTCTCTGAAGAAGATTAAGATTTATTTATCTGAATATTCTTAGAGAGCCAAATGGTTACAGGCCAACTTATTGATAATTATGATGATAAATTCATTAGATTTGCATAAAAATCTGATCTTTGATAATGATGCCTGACTCAGGCATACATTTTAAAATATTCTATCAGACAAACTAGAAAATAATTATGTTTCTCATAAAATATTTTCTTCATATCTAAACTTTTTCCAGGGAATACAACAAGGGATGATTTGAAATTAATACCTACTATTTATTCCCACAGAAGCTACAATAAATACTGTGAGTGCAATAACAATGTTGGATAGAGCAAGTTTTGAGAGACAAAACATTATTTTTTTTATATAGCCACCATTATTAACTATGCATTTTTGAGTTGCTGTATATTTCATAGGTTGAGAGTTGTGCAGGGCTGCCCAGAATGTAAGTTGTCACACACATTGCCTAACTGTGCTCATATCCACTAAGAGGTTGCCATAAATGTTCAGCAAGCATTGACAATATCAATGACTACACTTTTTCCACATGTAGTTAAATGATATATACTCCAGTTCAAAAGTTTGAAGAAATCCATGGTAATGTTTTAAATTGGTCCCAAAAGTAGTTGTTTTGTACTTTAAATAAGAGAAAATTATTATACATGGTTAAAAAAAGTGAAACACAATTTTTTTATTAGAAATTTTATTATGACAAAAAAGAAAAAAGACATTTTATGATTCGATTTTGCTCTTGTCAAAATATCCTCCTTTAGACTTGATTACTGCAGCACAAATCTTTGGCATTCATTGCAAAAGTTTCTCAAAGTATAGGCTCTTTTTCATTTTTCACTCTTCTGTCATATTACCTTCATGTGGTTTCAAACTTTTGAATTGTAGTGTACCCCTGTTTTGCATACACTTTGACATTAGATGCCATTTTAGCAAACTGCTATATGTAATAAGGTAATGATTATTGGTAAGTTAAATATCTATTGCCGACATCTGCCTTTGACATCAGAATAAAATAGGAAGTATTACGTTTGGAGCAACCCTTAGATAAATCTCCTCCAATTTTAGACTATAATATGCACACTAAATTCAGGATAACGTAATTATTACAATAACGTGTTAAACTGTTATAGCCAGGAAAGATTGTAAAAGTGAAATCAAACAAAATAAAATATGTTTTAACTGCACATCAATATTTGTAATGTGTTTTTCATTTCAGATCTTAATTGAAATATTGGAGGACTTAATTATTTTCATTTTTTACCATCCATTAAAATTTTAAAGGCAAAATTGCAGTTATATGAAAATATTTATAGAAGACAACAAAAAGAATAATAAGAGATGAATAAAATCAAAACCCGATTTATAGTAAGTGACAAGCATACTTACCATTTACTCTTAAGAGCACCTGTCGAGATATCCTGTCTCTTGTACTGACTTGACATACATATACGCCACCGTGTCTTTTCTGGACTTGTTTTATCAACAGATTCCATTCATTTGAATTTTCTACATGACTGACAGATACACTGGAATCTTTCACATAAGTATAGGTACCAATTGTCCAAGGATGGGGGTCAGATGCCTTCCGCCACATAACCTAAAAATAAAAATAATAAAAATATGTTATATGTTTTTGTGAGTTAATTATAGCTATTCAATCATTTTATTACTCATTACACACCCAGTCAAGGTGATAGAGCCACTAAGAAATAAAAAATACTTTGTATATTTTATCTTGAATATTGGCAGCACTTACTGAAAGTAATGTTTATATATCCTCACAACTTTGTGCTTTTAAACATAATGGCAGTTTTAAAATAATGTTGGGTGTCATAAAATAAATTGATTAAAGTTAAGCAGAAATTTTCAAATTTGCACCTGCTGTGTTTATATATTTTAGCAGAAAATATCAAACATGGGTGGTAATTTAAAAATGCTTGAGGCAAAATCCAAATTAACAAATGATACACAAAGTGTTGCAACAGGATGTGTGATGTTCTAAAAAAATGGAAAATTAGGGATGAAGGTAAAAAAACAAAAACTTGGTTTGGTTTGGTTTGGTTTACAGCATATTAACCTAATGGGTTATTTAATGCCGACAAGATTTTTTTTGGTAATATATTTTTTTTGTTTTCAAAAATGTATAGCTGGTAATATTTTTTTCTCAAAAATGTAGTGCTGGTAATAATTTTTCTTCAAAAATTTATTGCTGGTAATAATTTTTTACAAAGTATTTCTGGTATTAAAACTTATTTTTACACTTTCATAGTGTTTTGACCCTAGATTGGGGGTTAACTATTTACCCATAGCTGGGACCCTAACAGGTGCTACCACCCTGGGTCAGGGTGGACCTGGGAACACCAGCAATTAAGAGGTGGTTCCACATTCCTCAAAACCTCCTGATCAGAGTCCTTGCTGTTGGATGTAGTTTATCGTCTTACTCAGGATGCAGAGGTAGTTTATCGTCATATCCAGGGCCGACAAAAACTTGTAAAAACTGGCTACCAAACAGCATTAAATGTAACTCTGACACTATTCTCACATCATGTTAGAAAATCTGTAACCCATAAGCCAGCTGTACTGCAGTCAAAGAAGTAGTGGTGTGTCAGGTAAGATAATTTTTGAATTCAAAGTTTTCCTTCTCCTAGACTGGTTGCCACCTCAAGGCAAGAGACCTCAGTGAACCCTCCTATTTAATCCATTGCTGGGTGTAGCAGGGATGTATTTATACCTTTCCCAAGGGTATTTGTGCCAAAGTGAACTTGGATGGAGTATGCATTCAGTATGTCAATTTCTCTTTCTAATTCATTAACTGTTTGACTATCTCTGTTTTTTTAAAAATCATGAAATACTTAGAAAAACAAATTTGAATTGATTTGTTTCAAGGAAATTGTTTGTACAGGCTATTGTTTTAACATTTCCTTATAGATATTCTCTCCCTCACTCCCTCCCTCTCTCTCTCTCTCTATATATATATATATATTATAGGATAGTAAATTTGTAAATCTAACATGTTTCCCTTATATTAAAGCTTCATCAGAGAATAAGATATGGAAAAAGAAATCTGGTTGACAAGTCAAATGCATGTGAAGTTTACTTAACTAATTAAAATCAAATGCAAAAATAAAAATACCAGGAAATTTTTTTTTCATAAGCCATTCTTTGATGAAAGTTTAATAAAAGCAAAAAATGTTAGATATATAAACATTTCCTGTTTGTTCTTCATCCTATCTTTCTGTCAGATTCTTATCTGTATTTGCTCCAAATTTATATATATATATATATAAAACAAGCATTGTTAAAATAAACTGATGAGGTCTGTCTATTTAATTTTTTACTATATTTTTGAATGAGATATTGTATATTGGGATTAACATTAGGAATAAATATAACATTGCATTCAGAAATAAGAAAAACATAATAAAAATTAAATAAACAGACCTTGTTGGTTGAATTTAATAACTTTGAATGAATTCTTACTGCCTAAATACACTTTATATATATATATATATATATATATATATATATATATATATATATATATATATATATATATATATAGATAGATAGGTAAATGTTCTTACTGCACTTAATTTCAAATGTATATGCCATATTTCTCCCCATATAATGCATATGTTTTCCATAAAAATTTTGCTTCTGAACTCACATATCTGGGTTTCCAGAAGCAAACAAATCACAAGCATAATTTTACAAATATTTTACACTTTACCAAGTCTGGTATAAGGTCACATAAATGTGATACAGACTGAACACACTAATAATTACTTGTTTAACTATACCACAATGATCATTTTTAAATAGTTTTCAGTATCTGTTACTTTCACCTTCCCTGCCCACCAGAATAGTCCTGAGACAAACTTAAATGATATAAATAAAAGTAGGTAAAAAATTTTATTCAAAATATTTAATGCAAAATTTCCCCACTGTTGTTCTGAAAGAAAAACCTACAACTTGTTGAAATACACATATCAAAATAATGGTTTTATTCAAGTATCCATCCTTCTTATATATATAGAGATAGACTAAAAATGGAGTATTATTGCCATATGTGGCCTGGGGTTGTCCAATTCTTACTTTCCAGCCTTGATAGAGTTCTGCCATGCTTCATGTTTACAAGAATCAGGATATACCCAAAATGGAGTATTACTGCCATATGTGGCCTGGGGTTGCCCAATTCTTACTTTCCAGCCTTGAAACAGTTCAGAAGCATTTACATGTTCTTGTGGGTGATAAATTATTTTCTGCTCTACAACCCATTTGCCATAGATGAAATGTTGTTATCCTCTCACTACTCTGCTGTTCTTTCATGGCAATTGTTTGGATAAGATCTGCCTTGCCATGTACTCAACACCAAATCATCCTCATTCTCTTTGTATCCCATTGGTAAGGAGGGAGTTATACTCAGACAGCTTCTTCCCTACAACTCTTACTTTGTAGAACAAACTTCTGAAAGGATACTTCTCTCATCGCTATGATCTTAACCTCTTCAAGACTAGTGTCAACTGCTATCTATCCTACATATCCTCATAATCTGTACTTCATACTTTCTCTGCATATGTCCCTACAGCAACCTCCTTCAGCAATCCTCTACTTTAAATGGCTTTAAAATTACAAACAGCACTCTTTTCATTCGCTTAAATGTCTTTTTCCAATAAAGTTTAAAAAAAATAAAGATTTTATGTAGATGAAGTATATTAAATTATTTTTACTTTTCAACATTAATGATTCAAATGAATGAGATTTTCATAAAAGTTCTCAAATTTACTGAACATAAATGAAAACAATATTAAATTATTATTTTTGAAGTAATATATATGTCTGAACAAGAGTAATAAAAGACTCAAGAAAATTGGCATGTAAAATATCATACTATGATAAGAGATCATCACAGGGTTAAAACAAACACAAATAGAATTCTCTTCATATACAGCAATGAAAATAGAGGTTAACTATTATACAATGTTTTCATAATTTTTGTAAAATTGTTATATTTTGAAGACTTATAACTTGAATCATTTCAATGATTGAGCCAAGAAATTTTCTTTATATGGAAAGCAAGAGATGAATTGGCCTTCTATTATGGTTTGGTTTGTTTTATGGCATATCAACCACAATGGGTTATTTAATGCCAACAACATTTTTAGGATAGATTTGTATGAATACAATATGTATTCTTTGGTTTAGATTGGGTTGGTTTATTTTGTTTTACAGCATATCAACCTCAATGGGTTATTTAATGCTGACAAAATTTTTTATTGCTGGTAATATTTTGTTTTGTTAAAAATCTGTTCCTGGTAATATTTTTCCTTTAAAATTGTATTGCTGGTAATTATTGTTTTCAAAAGTATTACTGGTAATAGTTAACTATTTGCCCATAGCTGGGACCCTAAGAGGTGCTACCACCCTGGGTCAGGGTGGACCTGGGAACACCAGCAATTAAGAGGTGGTTCCACGCTCCTCAAAACCTCCTGATCAGAGGCTTTGCTGCTGGATGTAGTTTCTCGTATTACTCAGGACACAGATGTATTTTAACGTCTTACCCAGGACGTCCTTTTATTATGGTTATATATTTAAGATGCTTTACAAATAAGTGCCAAGTGCTAAAATTCTGTGGCATATCTTGTTATTGCAATGTAAAAAATCATGTTAAGCCCTACCCACTTGAACTTGGTATTGATTTATGCATGAAGGCACAAGGTACTATTATTTTTTATATATTTTTGTCACTTCACTAATTTTTTTCTTATCCCAACCACTCCTTATAATTTACAGAATCAAGAGTTCCTTGCTATAAACCAGTCTTGTCTTCAGCATTTAAAGGAAGAAAAATAAATATGATTTCAAAATCTGATTGTTTTTTAGACTATGTTAGATTTTATTATGGAAGTCAATGTTTTCACAATAAAATTGGTATTAACCGCCAATGTAAGTTTGATTTATTTGGGAAAGATATTAGAATAATCCAGAACTTAACTGGAAGCAACCCACCAACATACAAATAGAAAATGAATTTAGTAAATATACAAAAATAGAAAAGGGCATAAAAAAAGGATGTGTCTTCTAACCAGATTTATTCAACTTTTATATTGAAGTTATCTTGAGAGAATAACAAGTCCTCCCAGGATTCATTATTAGTGCTTATAATCTTAACAGCATAAGATATGCAGATGGCACAGTGTTGATAGCAAACAAAGAAATGAAGCTATAGGAACTACTACAGAATGTAGTAAAGGAAAATGAGAAGAAGGACTAAACATCAATTGTATGAAGATAGAATATACGATTGTTGGTAAAGGGAAAGCCTAAAATGTGAACTACAAAATGGAGACACCAAAATCAAACTACTACAAAAATTTGAATATCTAGGAAGTGTTTTAACAGAGGTCAGAAAATGCAACACCAAAATCCTAAGATGCATAAGCATAGTGAAAGATTCCTTCCAAAAACTAAGCAAAGTATTAAGAAACAAGAAAATTTTGTTAGAAACAAAGAAAAGAATACTGAACTGTCTTGAAACATTGGTCTTTGTATATGGCAGTTAATGCTAGACAATCTCCTTACAGATGAAGAAGAGAC